CATACTTTTATTTTCCGGAAATCCGTGGTACTGCAGGAACCTCCTGTGAAATCACCAAAAATGGCAGAAAATGGAAATGGTTTAAAAATGTAATTTTAATTGAGATCTTTTCAAATAAATCTTTGACAAACAGTCATGGAAGGAGTTCCCTTGTTAAAAACAAGAAAAATCTCATTCAGATATGATATCTATATTTAAATTCATATGAAATATCTATATTTAAATATTTTTCAACGTGATATCATAGAACCCCGGGCTACTTAAAAATGAAACGATTGTATTTTCAACTTCCCGACATCGCTCCACACAATGGAAACTCGACAATATTCTTATCGAATGCATAGGATGCAAAAGTGCTAGATTTGGTCGGAGTATGGAATGCTTTATATTACTTTATCTTTACTCTCACCATAGAATAAGTATTTGTAATAATTGTTATACTTACTTGTTATGAAAAATTGAACCAAGACTAGAGAAAAACTTATAGACCACAAGATATATTTTTGTTTATCATGATATGCATATGTTATTTTCGTCTTCATCCGTTTAAAACTGAAGTTGTGTCAAATTATAATTATGATGAAAGTTCAAAGATAAAATGCACATTGCTAATTTGTTAACTATCAGAATATTTTTGGTTGGGTTTGGATTTGTGGCTGATAAATAAAGCAACAAGGTCTGCCGTTAAAGCAGCACGCCTCCAGATTAATGTTAATTTTCTTTTATTTAAAAGTATAATATTGTGAGGTGAACAAAGCAATTTATATATTGCATTGGCACTTACATTCCAAGAAAATTACAAAAAGTAGTCAACATATGCAAAATCAGCCCTTATTGCTTTAGTAACACAGTAGAAATATTGTGATAAAATATACTTGAAAAGCAGTCTTAAATCGCATTTAACATGTAAAATATAATTTGGATCTTGAATGTTTTACCTAACTTAAAGTTTAAGTACATTTTTCTCAGTATTGATTTTGTTGAAATACTTTGGCTCATCTGGAGGCGTGCAACTTTAAATATGTTAATAATATTAAATTATATTGTCAAAATATTTTGGAACATTACCATGGACCCTCTCGTGTTACTGGTTAACATCCATTCCACTAAGATTTATATCAATGTAAATTGCATTAAGGAATTATACATTTTTTTAAAAATTTTTTAAAGAGTTTAATTGACATCCGAGAAAAAAAGTGGAAAAGTTCCTGTACAGTTGAGTGTCAAACGGCGCTACATTGTACCAGTAACCTTTCCATCATACTAGTTGTGAAGCAGACACGCATTTAAATATAAAAAATACCCCGCCCCCAGAATAGCAGTATTATATCAGTAATATACGATCTTAAACGGAACAAAAAGGTAAAACAACATTAAGATGAAAAACTAGGCAACCTATTTAATCTACTTAACAGCTGCTAATATAAGACCCATATGATTGTAATGTCCATGATATTAAAAAGTTATACCACCATCCAAAGACTATCCCGCCCCCAGAATAACAGTATTAAATCAGTAATATACGATCTTAAAGGGACCAAAAAGGTAAAACAACATTAAGATGAACAACTCGGCAACCTATTTAAACTGCCTAACAGCTGCTAAGATAAGACCCATATGATTGTAATGTCCATGATATTAAAAAGTTATCTCACAGATTGGTTATCAAATACCTTATACATTGTATATATGCGAGACATATTTAAGGCGAAACCATTAAAAGATACAATTTGTAGAACTGAACTTAACTGAATACCACCTACACATGATACTTGCAGATATAAAATTAATTTCACAGAGTACATTTATAATTGTATTATACACGCATATTTCCTGTTTCAATAATCAAAGGTCAAAGTGGCATTCGACATTTCCTAAAGAGTGCATTTCCTAATTATCCATTATTGTAAATATCAGTACCATTCATTCATTGTCCAATACCTGCCACATATATGTCCTAATTAATACAAATTGCTCTCACAGCCTATTTTGGAGGATGCCTGTCAGGTTTTGATCAATCACTAATAGGAAGGAGTGAGAAGTGAGGTGAGGAAGTACGGGTTGATTAAGAGTAAAAGGCAGGGGAAATCAGTCCGCATAGCTCTGGAACAGTGTACCAACAGTCCTGGCACCCGTTCATGTTGCAAATATCCTTACTCTGTAATTTATACGACCATAAAGCACAGGTATCTAAATATATGACTTTATATACATATATATGTTTCTTGTTTATTAAAGTTTCGGCTGAAGATATGCGAAGAAAGCATTGAAAGCGCTACTGAATATACATAGAGTTCGTTATTCCTTAAACATTATTATTTTATATAAATACATAAATATTGTAATCGTAAACAAGAGGGCTATGGTGGCCCTATATCGTTCACCTGAGATCCAGTGCAATAAAACTTAAAAAGAGAACAAGCTTTTAAATAATGACAAGTTTACTACAGGAAAGCAAATCAATTAAGCTATAAGGGTAATAAAAGAGTAACCTCCCTTACAGGATGAAAAGTAAATGGGGGATATTATATATTTTCCACTGTTGGCAAAATACGAATAGTTCAATAATGAATATAGCATGAACATTTTGACTTGAGCATAAATACTTATTCCATAAGCCCGTTGACTGAATTACAAATATTTCAAATTTATTTCGGTAATGGGGACGTTGCAAAAAAAATTGTCACAAAATGCACTTATTTGACCTATAGTGCAAAGGTCAAGTTACAGTCAATGTAAATTTCTAATAAATCTTCTTCTCGTCCAAAGGATCGTTGTGCCCAAGTATATAAAAAAACAATCTTTTTGTTTAGAACAAATTTAAAGCCAATTATAGCCATGAGTAAAGTCAAGTCAAATAATTTATTGGCAAAATCATATACATTGTACATCACCAAGTATCATTTTGGCTGTATAATATAGCAAAAATGTGAATAAACTATAATTTGACCATTGAGTTTGGATAATTTACCAGTCAAGGTAAAATGGAGAATGATCTACTTAAAGACATATTGCCATTAATGTAGATGTGTTCACTGTTCAAGAATGAAAAAAATCATTGATAAACAACAGAGTTATAGCCAATTTATGCAATATTCAAGGAAATAAAAAATTGGGCCTTAAAGGTCAATGTCATTTACAAGTATGACTAAAGATCATAATCAACTGGTCTACTTGAAGGTCTTGTCAAAATAGTTTTGTGTCCAAGGATAAAGATTTTTGCGTCCAATTGTGATGACAATACATGCATAAATAATAAAGTTAGAGCCAATTATAGCAAAAATCTATCAAATTTCTAACAGTTGATCTTCAAAGTCAAGGTCATTTCTGAGTGAAGGCCAATCCAGTGTGGTGTACATGAAGGCCTTTTCCAGTCGGAAAAAAAGAAGCAAAGGGGACTGTCTGGGAGTTTGCTAGTATAGTGGGCTGAAGATGAACTTTAATTAATACTGTCATTGAACTTATTTTCTATATAAGCGGCACTAAGCCCTATCATCACTAATAGCTAGGATACAGTGTTAAAATACTACACGAAATTACGTCACTTATCATAGTCGTTATAATTATGATACTTATACGACTCAAACCCATCCTTGTGAGATTATTAGACATGACTTACTCAGATTTGATCAGTAGTCCTAAGACGGACAACCATATAAAAATTATTAAATATTAGTAAATATTTGCTTAGAAATTAACAAAATTCTTCCCTGATTTGTATGTATGATAATGTGTGACATATGTTTTTCTTTCTTTCAACATGTTTAATAAGCAGAAATTTTTATTGTACTTTTATCAGGTATCAAAGTCTTTCAAACAGAAGTTCATTTTGTAAGATTTTTGAGGTATGAAGCGTATTTAATGGACAAGATGTATAATTTTAAGACAGTGACCAGGTTTCCAAGACCATACAAACTGCTTGTGTATTAAACAAACATAGTATCAAGCAATTATTACTGATAGTTATTGAAACTGGGATAATTAATGTCCAAAATTTAATTTCTTAACAATAAACGTATATTTCTTCATGTCTATTTTTAGCTCTTGTGACCTACTTATGCATCACACTGAAATCCTTTATAATTTTTTTGTTGAATGCCAGTAAAGGATCATTCCTGTGAAGTTTGGTAAAAATCCACCATGCAGTTTAGCAGATGCTGCTTATAGAAAATGTGAATAAAAACAAAAATTTTTGCCACCAAAAAAGCTCATCTCTTATGCAATTACTAAACAAGAGCTGTTGGTAGGACAGCAATGCTCGACTATTCTTTGTGTTTGATAGTTAAAGAGCCTTGATAATGTAAAATTTTCTAAGTAAACAAAAGGGCAAATTTTCTCTTTAAATCCATGTTACAGTTATAGGCCTTGGTAAGAGTCCTATTATGCTCTCAAAGTAGAATATAAAATTTCAACTTCAATTTCAAAGCGATATGTCAATAGAATATGAAAATATCTGAGGTGGTATGCAAACTTAAATGTAAATTCTAAGTTGAAAAAGGGGCATTATTCTACCATATGCTTCATAGAGCTATCTCCTCCTGTCTACAGTTTGGGGTCATGATGGTGAACAAGTTGCAATCGTTTCAAAGCCATATGTCAATGGACATACAATATTTGAGGTATTACAAAAACTTTAACATAAGTGACACTGACACCGATGCTCGGGTGACTCCAATAGCTCTACTTATTCTTAGCAAATAGTCGAGCTAAAAATTGTTGGTTTGTAGTTGCCCCACCAACTCAATGAAACTGACACGACTTCCAATTTTTTTTTTGACTCACCGAGCATGCAATTTTTTTATGGATAAAAAAATAATCATATGCCCCTTGAATCAACACTTAAATATCAGAGAAAATCCTGACCTTCCAACTCACTGTTAAAAACGTTGGTCACACAACTGCAAACCAAGATTTTTTTAGTGATGGCCTTCGCTCAAAATGCTCTGGTGAGCTAAAAATAAGAATAATTTCATATACATTTTAAAATTTTATACATTTTTTTTTTAATGTTTTTATTTTATAAGCTATGTCAATTTAACTCAATAACAATACATTCCACATTTACATCATACAATATTTAACTGTTATATAACCTGGAAAACCATTGTTTTGAAATGTGAATGGTTTATTATCATTTTCCCTTCAACAATTTATGGTGTTCTGTTGGAACCATCACTTTTTCCCATTGGCCACCTGTGATATACCTTAATTGCTGAAGGGATGGACCAACAACCCGACAACAATGTGACAAGACCATGTGAAAATGCGTAACAAAAAATAAAATAAACTAGAACTATCACTAAATGTGATTAATACCCCCACTAAATGCGTAACAAAAAATAAAATAAACTAGAACTATCACTAAATGTGATTAATACCCCCACAAGACCGCTTCGGAAATGAGGATGTTACTAGTAACAGAATATCTTGTACAAGAATAGAAATATAGAGTTATGGTTGAGGGCAATTAAAGATAGTTGTGGTTCTTGTATGTTGCAATTCCTCTCAATGTGGTTGGCCATTGATGAAGTTTTATTGAATTACTCTGTAATAAGTCCAGAAAGACAAAGAAAAAGGAACAAAGGGCAATAACTCTATAAATACTGAAGATGGAGTTATAGTTCTTGTGCACTGCACTTACTCTTTTTGTGCTTGACCATTGTATGAAGTTGTTTTGAATTTCAACCAGTACGTTAGTTATGCTCCAGACAAGGAAAAGTATCAAAGGGCAGTAACTCTGTATTTTGTCAAAATTAAGTTATGGCTCTTATGCACTGCACTTCCTTTTAATGTCCTTGACAACTGTATGAAGTTGTATTGAATTCTAAACAGTAGTTTTCAAGTTTTGCTCTGGACAAGGAAAAGTAACAAGAGCTGTCTGTAGGACAGCACGCTCGACTATTCTAAGTGCTTGATAGTAAAAGAGCCTTGATATTGTTAAATTTTATAAGTTCACAAAAGGGCTAATTTTTTTTTTATAAATTCATGTTATAGGCCTTACAGAGAGTCTAATTATACAGAATTGGCTTGACTATTCGGAAGGTAATGTCACAAGGTTTTTTTTATTGAGTATAATAATACTAATTACCTATGAATACATAAATTTGACAGAAAAGGTACAAAGGCTTGTTATTAAGATGTTTTATCAAGTAAATCACTGCTTTATTATTATGAATGCATAAAATTGTCCCAAAAAAGGCACAAACCCTTCAGTAGTTATTGAGATAACAGCTTACAAGCAAAACTTTACCATGAATTTCTAAGTTGAAAAAGGGGAGAAAAATCAGCCTAAATGCAAGATTGAATTATGGATCTTTGTCAGTGACCTACAATTATGACCCTAAATGCATATGTGAAGTTTTAGATAAATATCTTTAATAGTTATTGAGATATGTAAAACTTGCATGTAAACATTAACCAAGAGACTAAGTAGAAAAGGGGATATGAATCAGCCTTAATGCAAGATAGAGTTATGGAACTTGGTCAGTGACATACAATTATGACCCTCCAATTATGACCCTAAGTGCATGTGTAAAGTTTCAAGAAAATATCTTTGAAGACCGTTAACCTTTAACCAAAATTTCTAAGTTTCAAAGGGGCAAATAATTCTGCAAATATTGCAGACAGAGTTATGCAATTTTGCAAACTGATGTACATTGTTACTATAAATAAGTATTTTAAATTTCAATTGAATATCTCAAGCAATAATTGAGATATTTGACTTTACAAAAAAACTTTAACCAAAATTTCTAAGTTCCAAAGGGGGCATAATTCTGTCAATATGGTAGGCAGAGTTATCCAACTTGTCAATCTGATGTACATTGTTACTATAAATAAGTATTGTAAGTTTCAATTGAATATCTCAAGCAATAATTGAGATATTTAACTTTACAAAAAACTTTAACCAAAATGTCTAAGTTTAAAAAGGGGCATTATTCTGTCAATATTGTAGGCAGAGTTATCCAACTTGTCAATCTGATGTACCTTGTTACTATAAATAAGTATTGTAAGTTTCAATTGAATATCTCAAGCAATAATTGAGATATTTGACTTTACAAAAAACTTTAACCAAAATTTCTAAGTTAAAAAGGGGCATAATTCTGTCAATATTGTAGGCAGAGTTATCCAACTTGTCAATCTGATGTACCTTGTTACTATAAATAAGTATTGTAAGTTTCAATTGAATATCTCAAGTAATAATTGAGATATTTGACTTTACAAAAAACTTTAACCAACGCAGACGCCGACGCGGACGCTGACGCCGGGGCGACTACAATAGCTCTCATATTCTTCGAATAGTCGAGCTAAAAAAGGGCAATAACTCTGTAATTTGTCAAGATGGAGTTATGGTTCTTGTGCACTGCACTTCCTCTCAATGTGCTTGACCATTGTATGAAGTTATATTGAATTCCAACCATTAGTCTTCAAGTTATGCTCCGGACAAAAAAAAGCAATGGATAGTAACAAAGTGCAGTAACTCTGTAATTAGTCAAGATGGAGTTATGGTTCTTGTGCACTGCACTTTCTCTCAATGTGCTTGACCATTGTATGAAGTTATAATGAATTCCAACAATAAGTCTTCAAGTTATGGTCCGGACAAAAGAAAGCAATGGAAAAGTAACAAAGGGCAATTACTCTGTAATTACTTTAGATAGAGTTATGGTTCTTGTGAACTGCACTTCCCCTTATTGTGTTTGACAATTGTATGAAGTTGTTTTGAATTCCAACCAGTAGTTTTCAAGTTATGCCCTGGACAAGGAAAAGTAACAAAGGGCAATAACTCTGTAATTAGTCAAGATAGAGTTATGGTTCTTGTGCACTGCACTTCCTCTCAATGTGCTTGACCATTGTATGTAGTTATATTGAATTCCAACCATTAGTCTTCAAGTTATGGTCTGGACAAGGAAAATGCAAGGGACGTCTGGACCGACCGACCGACCACCGGGTGACTCCTATATACCCCCCCCCAAACTTCGTTTTTGGGGGTATAAAAATACAACAACATTAAAAGATATTCTTTTCTCACAAAAACATGGGGCATATAAGTATTATGATCTAGGATTTAATTCATACCCGACTTCAATCTTTATTTTTTCACTATTATTTCACTATTTTTTCACTTTATTTTTTCACAATCCCTGGTTAATATGGTTTTATTTCCTGTTCCTGTAAGACAGAGTCTATCTTAATCTTGATCACATTACTGCTACTGTTACTATGTTAATCCCATTGAAGTCCGTCATCTATTCATCATTTTATTGACATGTTTCTCTATTTGTTCAACCTGTGTATTAAACACCTGTTCATCATTATCATTTTGAATCACAATATCCCAGTCAATACCTGTGTCCAGTCCACATTCAGACTCTGCATCATCCACACCTAAAATAATATAAACTTTTAATCTTATAAATGCAATAGTTACCGTAAACATGTCAGTGTATCGCAGGCAATATGCAGCACTTCCCCACCAGCATTATGCTGTCTGATTGTCAATCTTCAATTTAAGTGGAAATTGACTTACAAACAATTTGTCTCAATTTGTTTCTGAGTAGACATAATTTTTTTTAGAAAGGAATTTGTTCAGGAAAGGGAACATATGTAAACTTTTAGGGTTATCATATGATTGCAGATACGAATCCAACTTCATGATTTTTACTATTTCCATAACTTTAATATTAGTTATTTATTTACATTTTCTGCTAAATAAAATAACATCTTATGCTTATATAAATAATGTCTTATTGCCATTATGGTCCCATATTCCAAGAATCATCAACCTAGATTTTGTACTTTTTGAGTTATGGCTGGATCCAGATGTCTTCCTGACAGATGGAATAAAACCTGAGTGTATATATTCCTCCAGTGAAAACAGTAGGGGACTGAAATTATTGAGATAAAAGTGAGTTATATTTCATATTCAAAATAGAACGCCTCCGATAGAATTTGGAACATTCCATACTTATTTACTAATTAACTAACTTCAATAATTGCATGATAGTACCAATCATATTCCATAATTGGATGTTAAGACTTAACAAATTCCATTATGGCGTTACAGTACAAACTGCATGATAAAACCATACAAATTCCATAGTTTCATGTTAATACCAATAAAATTACATAATTTCATGTTTATAATACTAATCAAAGTCCATTATTTCATATTAATACCAATCAAATTACATATTGATTGACAGTACCAATCAAATTCCATAACTTCATGAAAACACCAATCAAATACCATAGTTCCATGTTAATACCAATCAAATTCCATAATTTCATGTTAATACTAATCACTAATCAAAGTCAATAATTTCATATTAATACCAATCAAATTACATATTGATTGACAGTACCAATCAAATTCCATAATTTCATGAAAACACCAATCATATACCATAGTTTCATGTTAATACCAATAAAATTACATAATTTCATGTTTATAATACTAATCAAAGTCAATAATTTCATATTAATACCAATCAAATTACATATTGATTGACAGTACCAATCAAATTCCATAACTTCATGAAAACACCAATCAAATACCATAGTTTCATGTTAATACCAATCAAATTGCATAATTGCTTGATACCAATCAGTTTCTGTAATTTCTTGATACTACCTATCAAATGTAATAATTGTATAATTGAACCAATGAAAATTTGATAATCGCAAGATAATACCATTTGCATTGAATTTTGAACATTTCCAAATTTATGCATCAATTATCTGTATGATTCTTTTACCAATCAAATTCAACAATGCAAAAAAATATCAATCAATTTCTGTTTTTGCATGATTATACTAATAAACTTCTAGAAATTATAGATGGAAACCTTTTGTGAAGACAAATCCTCTTTGTTGTCTCACACTCTCAGATGCTTCTATTCTAACAAACGTTACAACATCAGGATAATGTTCTCTGAAGAAATTAATGTCAGTTTTCCTTCTTGCATCCGAAATAATCCATAAAGGTTTTAAAATGTCCGCTGCCTCTACTGTTTTCCTGCAGAAGAAGTATGACTCCAAGTTACGTTTATCCTCACCCCATTTGATCATGTGAGCTCGGTAACTTTCTTTATATTTTGACGAATTAAGGAGTTCTTTATAATCTAATCCTTTTTCCTGAAATAAGTATCAAAGTTCATGACTAAATTCACAAATTTTGCATCACTTGGAAACAATAATTAAAATTTATTTTTCATTATTAAAAATAAAAAAAAATCTTGTGCAGTCTAAAACAAAACATACTAAAGCAAGAGCTAAACATGTCATTGCATTATGTATATGTGTTGTCATGAGACAAGTAATGCAACTTGTTAAAATCAGATAGTACTCAATTGAAAAATTAAACAAGGAATAAGTCATTAAACTGACAAGGATTTTACACAAGTGTTTCTGTGACCTTGATATTTGACTTAATGACCTCAAAGTTAATAAGACTTATCAACTTGCCATAGGCAATTTTTCTACCAAATTTCACAAAAGTGTTTTCTTCTCAGGTTTATGAGTGGACAAAGATTTTACACTTTGTGTCAATGTGACCTTTGTCTGGTTATCAACATAGCAACAGTAATGTCCCAAAATTAAGCTTAATCCTTCTCAAGTCAAAGAGCTGACAAGGACACACAGTGTCAATGTGGCAATGACATTGACCTAATGACAACAGAATCACTAAAAGTCATCTACTGGAAATGGGCAATCTCCCTACCAAGTTGCACAGACCTATACCAGGCCAACTCCCTCTTATGACATTGGAAAGACAAGGATTTTCCAGTAAGCATTACAGGGGCTTTGACCAACCAACAGAACTTAAAAATTGACAGGGGGAACCAAAATGTCATAGACAATATCCTGACCCAGTTTCTCTTATATTATTTAGCAGAAAAAGATTTTCTATGAAGACTCAATGCCACCTCGCTCTTTGACCTAATAAACTTTAAATAAAAAAGGGCCATCTACTGACAATTTAAAACATCCTATCAAGTTTCTTAACCTTGGTCATTTCTTCTCAAGTTGTTGAGCTGGCAAAGTTTCTACATTGTGTCACTGTGACCATTACCTTTGATCTCATATTTAAACACCTACTTTGTATGTAGACAGCACATTTAATATTTTTCAAGTTATTGTGGGGACATCAACCGACAGACAAATAGATGGACAAATAAATAAAAAAACTCTGAAATAATACTTAAGTGGCTACTCTTTTGTTCTCCCATTGTTCTGTCAGTTACATAAGAGAAAACACAGCAGCAAATGAACTTAATGAATGAATAGCATCAAAGAAAATTTACAGTTGCCTATTGTTCTCAAAGCCACTGAAGAATCGATAATATGTTTGTATGAACACAGACAAGCGTCTAAAGACATCTTTTGGGCATTTATTTTTTAGATATTCCATTCAGCAATTTTTGACTTCATTGCGTCAGCTAACAATCAAACAAGTTTAAAGGTAAAAAGGTTCAGCAGATATGTTGCACATGGAACTGGTAATAAATCATTTTCATCCAGATAATTTGCCATTTTTAATATCCAGCCATTTTTGGCCAAAGATTGCTGAGCTTGTCACAAACTCCAAACATAAACCATCTATAGGTAACCAGGTAAAGTTATATTTTGTAATCTAACTAATCTTTATAATTTAAATTACCAACTTGCTGAAAAATATGTTATCAACAATATCATTAGAAGCAGGAATGGAGGATAATAAATATCATTATATATAAATAAATAGTATACAGTTATTTCATAAATTATGTGATTGGGGAACAGTCAAACTGTTGGCCTGAGGTGGGTAGTGTTTTGAAATGTTGTCCAAGGCCGTAGGCCATCAGAGCACGCGAGTCGAAACAACTGACCAGTCAACAGTTCGCAAACGTGGGCGTTTTTATAATTTCAGGAAAGAGTAATAAATACCAAATAACATTTATATAAGCCATCAGGTTATAATATAATTAAGACAACAAAATTGTCACAGAAAAAAATATGATTAATAATCTATGGTACACGATATGAACTAATTGACTCATCATACGTCAGTAGATGAAATAAAATACCTTATAAGAAGGAACTAAGTTTACAAATAATCTCCTTCGTGTGTTAGTTCATTTTTTTTCTGTTCTACAACACTGGTCTTATAATATATTTTAGGTCTTATCTCTGGCGTCAATCCACCTAATAACTAACCAGTAATGACCAATGATGTCATATTCGTGATTAATTGTCACGGAGAAATATTGCCTCACCAGAGGATTTACCCAGCTTCATCTGGATTACATTATCATATGATCTCCCTGTTGAGCTTCGTGGGCGGACTTTTAGTGACATCATATAATATAGTTAAAAAGTTAATATCATAAAATATGATCAACAAGATCAACAAGGAAAGATGGCGTTCAATGAACAGTTCACAGGTTTACCTCTGCATATTGTTTCTTCAATGGGCCTGACAATCGTAATACCTGACAGCTTTCATAACCAAGCCTACAATAAAGAGAAAAACAACGAGACATAAAATTAATGATATAACTACATTTTTAATTAATTTAATGCTACAAGCAACATTTCATGGAGAGTCCTAAGTTCATAAATGCGTGATCAAATTGTCCTAACGTTTGTCATAAGTCCTAGGACTTAGCATTAAGAAATTTCCATAAAAAGCAACCTAAGCCTCCAAATTAGTTAAACAAATAAGTCTATACAAAGGACATATGAAAAATCTAAGTGATGCATAATTAATAAGAACTTTAAAGCCCCTCAACATTTTTGTACCAAAAGTATATTGTCACTGGACATCAAAAGCAAAATATTTGGTTCTTTTAAACAAAACACTCACTAATAAGCCCCTTTTATTGTCTTTGAATTATCTTTTCCTGTTCTAGTACTAAGATATGAAAATTTGGCCGCAACTCTAATGCTTATAATTTACATGTAAGATCACAAGCTTCACCGAAAAAAGATAAAAATATTGTTTTCCAATAGCTAGTATGCTAGTCAGGTCCGCGGGTTAGATTTTATTGATTTAAAGAGACAAAAAGCAAGATGGTTGTCCTATTATTTCGTCCACTAATTAGCATTTAACTGCATATGAGAATGCGGCTACAATTATTCCCGCTCTGAAAAACCATCAAATCATGTCTAAATAAGGTAAAAAAAGGTTAAAAGCCAATAAAGGTTAATAGCCATAAATGCATTATTCTAAAAAAAAAAAAAAAAAAAAAAAAAAAAAGAAAACGTTACAAGAGGGCCATGATGGCCTTGAGTCACTCACCAGAAACAACTTCTTTTCAGTGTTGGAAATTATCCATTGTCAATATTTTCTAAAAATTAATTTTACCATAGAAAATGTTTAAACAATAATTTGAAGAAATGCCATGACCTGGGGCATTTAAGCTACGGGGCCAATTGAATTAATATGAGTAAACTTGATAAAAGACTACCTATGAATTTAGCGCGGAGGAAGGTAGTCTAGTACTGGTGTAACTCTCCAGGAACGATGGTTAGGAAACTACCCGCCTATATGACTGAAATACTGTTGGGAAAAGGCGTAAAATGAAACAAACAAACAAACAAACCTATGAATTTGATATTTCAGTAGGAAATGATGTTCAAAAGTTTTTTCTATTTTTAGCTTTAGTGGCCCCTAAAAGGGGCTAATCAAATTAATATTAGCATACTTGATAAAAGAGTACCTAAGAATGCTTCAGACAAAGTTTGGTAATCATCCATCAATTAGTTCTGTAGAAATAGACGTTTAAATGTATTTTTATTTTTAGCTTTAGCTCCATCTAAAAGGGGCCAATCAAATCAATATGAGCAAACTTGATAAAAGACTACCCAAGAATGCTACAGACAAAGTTTGGTGATCATCTATCAATTAGTTCTGTAGTAGATGTTTAAAGTGTTTTCTATTTTTAGCTCTGTTGACCCCTAAATGGGGCCAATTGAAATGACATAGGCAAATTCAAGTGTGACTGTCACAAGGATGTTACAGACCAAATTTAAAATAAATCTGCCCAGCAGTTTCAAAGAAGAAAACGATTGTTGATGCATGACAATGAATGAGGAACGCCGGAGCATCCCCCTTTGATACTAATAGCTGACCCTGAACCTTCGGTTCTGGTGAGCTAAAAAAGCAATGCATGGTAATGATTAATACAACAAACAAGCATTAACTGAATTCTAATTTCATACATTTCATTCGCCAAAATTTTCAGCATTATTTGTATCTTGATTTATTCAATATGAAAACATACATGTAAATATTGATAGAATTCTTATGCTTGTTGATTAAATACCAAGGTACAGGTCATAATAAATTACTAATAATTGAAAGATGAGAGTGACCTAATGCCAATTAAGACTAGTTGCCAGTACAGTACAGAGTCCTTTGTCAATGCCGCACTTTTAAATGTGTGATAAATAGCAGTTAATAAGAAATACAACAAAGCAGGTTTGTCATTTAAGTGTGAACAAGGGTAAACCTACATGTATATTGATCTACATGTATGTGCACTTTGACCAGTTAAGATGAGTTTTATTGTCGCCACTACAGGAAAAATGACATTTTACATGTTTATTGTTACTTGATTTAATAGTCTTCACCTTCAAAGATTAGAACAATTAACTTTATTAAAGTGACTTTAGGCTCATTTTCAAGTTGAACTGCATTGACTATATATTTCAAAAAAGATTGACTGTTATAAAGAATTATGATGATTGACCAATAGTTGGTAATGGAAAATGTTTATGATAAAATATAAATCTGCTTAAAATATAAAAAGACTGCCCCACTCTTTTTATAAATTGACAGGTAAATTTCAATGGATATTTACAAAAACTTCCTTTGGCTGTGCGAAATTATTAATCGTTCATGCAAAGTAAATTATAGAATTGAAAGGAATTATTACAGTAGATAATCCAAATCACTGTGCCCTGCCCTGTCTTGTTAGCTTATACAATTCAATGTGTCCCAAGTCCTGCGATTACTAGCATGTTTTACTTCTGATCAGTGTACCTTACATGGGAACTATATATTTTAACTTTAACCTGTCTTGCAAAAATTGGAAGTAGACTTGTTACATACACTGTGAAAATGGCAAAAATGTGATGTTATTTCACTTTCACCTGTTCACTCACTACATGTACACTCTAGTCCAATAATTTTATTAGATGTTACAGGCTTGTTATAGTTTATGATGGTCAAGCCCAGAGTCTTAAAGATATTGTTCATAAATGCATAGCTGCAAAAAAAAATCAAAATATGTCTAATGTTTTGCCTTTTAATAAAAAACAAGAACGTGTTTGTTAAACACAAATGCCCCCGCCTAAGATTCTTGTCAGTAACAATATTTAAAATAAAGACTGTATGGGCAAGTGTAAATATCTATTTTTAGCACTGGTGACCTTGACCCAACTGACCCCTAACTCCACCCAAAGGAAGAATATCATGCAACTTATTTTCCTACAAAATATGAAATAGATCTGTCAATATATAAAGGCTGTATGGGCAAAAGTGTAAAAATCTATTTTTAGCACTGTTGACCTTGACCCAACTGACCCCTTACTCCATCCAAAGGAAGAATACCATGTAAGTTATCTTCCTACCAATTATAATACAAATCTGTCAATAAATAAAGGCTGTATGAGCAAAAGTGTAAAAATCTATTTTTAGCACTGGTGACCTTGACCCAACTGACCCCTACCTCCATCCAAATGAGAATACCTCAATTTTATGTTCCTACAAAATATACAAGACATCTGTCGATAGAATAAGGTTAATACACCTGTAAAAGTGTAAAAAATCTACTTTTGACATTGGTGACCTTGACCCAAATGACCCCTTACCAAAGGAAAAGGACCTTCCTTGGTATGACTATTATAAACATGAAAGACATTAACTTAAAAATAAAGGCTGTATGAGCAAGTGACCTTGACCTTGACCTAGAGACGCCTAATGCCACAAAAAATTAGAGGACCGTTAAAGGTATCCACCTACCAAATATGAAAGATATCATTAAATAAATTAAGTAATTAGGTGAAATTTTTTGATAAATCCAACTTGGCGGAATAGGTTAACCATACAAGGCCCTATTTTCAAAGTGATAAAAAAGGAAATTACTGGGAAAATGGATGGCACATTTATATAACTTGGCAATATCATGTACATTGTATTGATAAGTAATTGTGAAAATTATTAAGCCATTAGTTCAGATAGAACATAAGATATTTTCAACTTGCTGTTTTAGCGGTTTAGGTTAACCATTATTCATTTTTTAAGTGCTGAAAAGGGCCATAACTTGGTGCAAATGGAAGCCATAGTTATGTAACTTGCCCAGATTATATACTTTGTATGGATTAGTAAGTGTGTAAATTATGAAGCCATTGGTACAGGTAGAACTTAAGAAAAATCCAACTTGCCGTTCTAGGTTAACCTCGTACGGACAGACGGACTGACATTCCAACATTTTGGGTTTAGGGGCTATTTTCTTTGTTATTTTCTTTGTTTTCTTAAGGGCTACTAGGCCATAAACCCTTTGATCAAGGAATGAACCTATTGTTCTCTTTTGTTCTCTTTACTGTTATATAGCCCCTAAACCCAAAAATGTTTGCTCGGACAGACTGACAGACGGAAGGTTCAATTACTATATGCCTGGGGGCATAAAAATAAATCAAATATACTTTCGTTTGATTGTTTGTTTGATTGGGTTTTATGTCACACAGACACAGTATTGGTGATATGGCGATGTTCAAGCTTTACTGGTGGATGAAGACCTCGGGTGCCTTCCTTGAATTATGTCAGTCACGAACGGCAACCAGAGCAGAATCACTGACGTTTCAAATTAAGCTATGAAAGAATCCAATGTCCCTGTCGGAATTCAAACCCACAGCGGTGAAGGGCAAGTAGTTTAAAGTCAAAGACCTTAACCACTAAGCCACAGACACCCCACATATTCTTTCAATTTCATGCTCGATCGTTAATAAAAAATCGCAAACAGTGTAATTATCAATTCAAAATAAACTAGATAGTTCCAAATTTATTTGCACAGACTTTTTTTCATTCTTAGTTCAAAGCCCTTAAAACATTAAACCATTTTTATACAAAGTTCAAGGCACTGATACTATTCAGCGTTAACCTTTTGTAAATTGCATATTTGTAGCCAAAATAATGACTACATACATTTCCATAAAAGTATGAGTGCTGAAACCGAAAATTTCAAAATTTTTCCAACATTCAAGAGAGATAACTTTGTCCAAAATCATTAAACCAGTGAACTGCTTATTCCTAAGACATGGAAGATGTATCTTTATGTCAAATTTGAGTTGAATGTGTACAACTATTGGGGAGATAATAAACGGAAACTGAAAATTTCTAATTATTTTCAAAGTGAAAGGGGCATAACTCTGCCAAAAATCATCGAACATTGAAAATTGGATTTTTTGTTTATAGTTTTAGACTTATTACAGTGTTTGTGACCCGTGACTATCAATGACAGCTTGGCTGCGCCTTCTCATTCTCCCTATTAGGTTTTTGATCGTTCTAACGGGTATTTCGGCCATTGCCAACATGACTCCAAGCTCCTGGATGGTTTTGGGTTGCATCTGATAAGCTGAAATTCATTCCAAATGTGTTTTTTTGGATTTAAGTCAGTTTATTAAGCTGGCCAGTCCATTAGCTCAATAGTCTCCCTTTATAGGTAGTCCTGGACCAGCCCTATGCCATGGGGGCAAGCATTATCGTAAATACACCCATTGACAGTCTCTATATGTACTATGTGAATAACCGAGGTATATCAAGTGAAAAAACAAGAGTTGTTTCCCTTAGCTTCGAGTAAAATCAATATCTCTAATGCAAAACAATGCAAATTAAGACATTTTTAAACTGCTAGTTTGGGGCGATTTAATGTTCGATTTTAAAATTTATTACACCAATGAAAAGCTTGTAATCTTAGCTACATCTCAGTATATATTTCATGACATTATTTGACACTGGAGGTATTTAAATTTACAGTTAAACCTAATACAAGTCAGACCATTTTACATACGTTTTATACAGTGAGATACACAATTAGTTATCTTTACTAGCAATTCTACTGATAAGAAAAGCCTGTTGTCTGCTAGTCCTATAACATAAGACATTTCCATTCGTACTACGTACACTCCAACGTCTTATCGACTTCTTCATAAGTTCCTTTAGCAAAACCCACCCACATGTTTACAGGCAAAATAGCCAAATGTATATAGCGGTGAAAGTGGTATAAATTGTATTGGATTGGATTTATTTACATTCGAAGGTGAGTCATTTATTTTTTTGTTGCACATTGACCTTTTCGAAAACCTAGCTAAACACCGTTTTCCGGTACGTTACCGTTTTAGCTCTGGGGAATTACACCAAATGAGGTACATTATTCAGTTACGTGATATTTCTATTTTTCTAATATTATTTAAGCGTTAAAGGTGATAAAATTGATGTTTTTGAAAATAATCAATATTCCTTTAATATCTATTGCAAATAATTCAAAAAAATAAATTATTTATAATGAAAATCAATAAAATTCAAACAGACGTAGTGGAATCCTCCATAATAAATAAAGTTATTTTCTGCGTAAACTTGTGTATTTACTTTATTTTTTGTATGGAATTATTCATACAATGATATTTAATTATTTTCTTATAAAGAAATAACTGTTTTATTTCAATGTAATTTAAAAAAAAGGCCGAAAACATCGATTTCGCTATTACACTCCATTAGGTGAATTCCCCAGAGCTATGTACAGAAAGTACCGGAAAACGGCGTTTAGCTAGGTTTTCGAATTCGTGAATTGATGCAAAAATGTTTACATTTACTGTCTGCATATCTTTTGACTCAAAATATTGTTTTTGTAGTAAATTACGATGGTTTATACAGCGCTTCAAAATCGTTGCGCGTTTTGCTAAAGGAACATATGAAGAAGTCGATAAGACGTTGGAGTGCACATAGTACAAACGGAAACGTCTTATATTATAGGACTAGTCGTCTGCTAGTTCGGAAACTGTCAATCTGCATGTGTATTTAGTATACTTTCCACTCCTTAGATACATAATCTTCTGGAACCAAAGATGGAATTTTCTGATAATATTTCAACTATATGAAATAAAAAAAAAGTAACGAGTAAGTGAACAAGTTGACAACGTAACGAGTTGTCGAGTTGAAAACGGGGCGAGTTAATTAAGGGACGAGTGGACTCAAAATTTTACAGATAAAGTAAAGAGTCGCTCGTCTTGATTGTCAATTAAAAATGATATACTTCTTGTGTATATTAACCTTTTTAATAGCAAGTCAGCTAAATAATCTTTCCCAGATTTTCTTTTCCCACTTAAAACAAGAATGCATGTTGGATTTCTAGTGCTGGTCATTTTGTAAACAAATGCGTTTAATGATCGTGATTTGTAATTAGCGAAAAGATTTCTAACACGGAAATAAAACTAATGGTTCCAACGCGGTCTTCAGGAAACGGGTCGTTCGATATTTTACTAAAAATGATATCCAGGCTGAGTATCTTCTCCTACATCTTCATTTTACAGCCTCAAATTCGTGTTGGATTTTAAACAGGAAAGTAAGAGTAATGTACAGAGCTGATGTTTTATCACTGCTCTACTGTATTTAAGATCTTGCAACATCTAAGATACATGACTTATTAAATTGTAGTCATTATATACATCTGTGATAGCTGATACTTGCATGAACTTGTTTTATTTTGTAAACCAGATATTTTCGACAAGGATGCCACAATCATAGAAAGGTAATCTAACTGACAGTTGGGGCTCTCATATGTTTCATAAGCAGTTAAATTCGTAAGACCTGTTTGTTGAAAGTTTTGACTATTCTTTTTATGAATCTTGGTATTTTGTTTTTGCTGTTATATTATTTATAAGATAGATCTTTACTTATTGCAACGCCTTTATATTTAGCAAACTCTTGAACCAATCAAATTCCCGGTTTTCAAGGCTGTTGAGATACTTTTGAAAGGTTTACCCTTCCCTTATTAAACACTGTCAGTAAGGTCATTTATTTAAGATAAGATGAGACAATGTCCAGATATCGATCTTTGAGGTACGCCGGAGAGAACAGGTAGACTTTAAAATCTTGACCATCAACAACAACCTGTTGGGTGCGAACATTTAAGATGATTTCCTTTTTCCACTTGTTAATTTTGATAACTTACACATACATGTGGTAGCCCAGATATTTTTACCGTGCATATGATAATCACTCTCTATACCGACCGTGATCTCGTACAGTGCATCACCATACAAAAAATCAAATTATATAGGATACCTTGTTTTTAAATCGATCAATTAATTACTTTTAAGTAATACATAGTACCTAACCTTGTCAGATTTTGTTTAAAATTCATTTTTGAACTACATTATATAAGATGTTGATTGATGGAAACAAATAAATCACACAACCAATCACTATTCCTATCAATATAATATATATGTGTATATATTTTAAAACCCACTGAAACACGACCATGCGGATTGTACAATATAAAGAATTGACTTTTTTGCAAAGATTGTGAGCTTTGTATCGGTATATATTTGTGTATTGAATGAAGTAATCAGTACTTTACGATTCAATAAACTTTATTAAATAACTTTAGATACAGATACACAGACAAAGGACAGACAGTAGACCTACAATATAAAGGTTAGGTGGGCACATTTTCTTTGCTTTCTAAAAGTCCGAACAACAATTTAATCAATAACAATGGCCTAACTAAATAAGGCATGTTCTACTATGAATTGAAATGTAAATATATAACAAGCAATTTAATCATAACTTGGAAGACATAAAAATCTAAGGAGTATAACATTATCTAAATTATTACAATTATCAGGAATTTTGCAATTCTGGACTAGCTATTATAGTTGATCATACAATGTATATTCAAAACTAAATAAATAAAATATATGTATACAAGCTTGTTGATCTTATTTTTGATGTATTTGTTTTTTGTACAATGTTTGTGCCGGACACAACAAAAGATTTTTGTAAAACATATAGCCCCGATTATCGCAAATAAATGCCAATTTCTCAAGAACATATGGACCTGCTAACCATTGCTTTTGTTAAAATATACAGACAAGGTCTGTAATACCATACTTATTATGTTTGATTTAGAATGTTTTTGAAACATCCGCAGATGTGTTCATACGGCGGTTATCATCATGGAACCTTCACTGTTAAAGGGGCGTATGGTCCCCAAATAAAGAGTTAGCCCTTAACGAGAAAACGATGGGCAGAACTAAACAAAATGGAATTTTGAAAGGGGATCAATGGTTATGAAACCTGCATATCATAGATACGACGTTAAGAGACAGAACTAAAAAGAGCAGGCATTTTTTGATAGTTTCTGTTATTATAACAATTAATAGTTTATTGATTATTTCATTTTCATTTCTACTTCCTTAATGTCTAATTCATTATTTTTGTTATGTTCTTGTTGGGTTTTATAGTTGCACCAACACAGTATAGGTCAAATGGCGATTTTTCATTTAAATTACTGGTCAAAGAAGACCTCATGTACTCCTTTGTACATTTTTTCAGGCACAAACGGGCACCTGAATAGTATTACCGACGTTCTTTAAGCTAGCTACCCAGTGCTTTCTCACATGTAGAATATGACGACGCTAATTGCTTGCTCGAACCTTCAGCGTGAACTATTGTAACCACTCGGCCACGGACGCCCCCAAATCTTTTCTTTTCATTAACATAATAAATTATATACTTATTAAAATTAGAACCAACAATTTGTTCATGAAATATTACTTAAAATTAAAATTCATTGAAGTATGATATCACAAACTACATTCAAATAACTTAAGCTTTATTATGACTGACTTCATATTTTTTCTCTCCATTTTACATGTACTTCAGAAAAGGCCCACGATAATGCTGTAAGAACTATTGGCCTAACACATTTGTATGTATACTTGATGGTTATGTCTGTAAAATTTGAAATGTTATATTGTGTGTATAATTATACAAGTAAATATATCATGTAAAAATATAGGAAAAGGCCCCTGGCATAAAAAGGTGAATATTATTCAACATTTTGGAAAGTAAGTGAAATGTCATAAAAGTTGAAATGTATCTTATACACGACCAAGTCAAAACAGTTAAATCCTTCTAAAAATGGTGATAGTTAAATTTTTGATGGATTTTTTTTTCTGAAATAAGAGAAAAAAAGCTATTTTGGATTGGGTATGTGGCTTTATTTCGGCCCCTTTGATAGGGTGAAAAGCCCTTATTTTTCCTGAAAGATCTTTTTAGTAAATTTTTACATTTGTATAAATAAACCTTTAAATGTTTTTTAGTGTTTGAAATAATGAGAGCTACCTTTCTTTTTATATTTTCTATATAATTATTTGAACCCTGTGTTCTTTTCGATTATTCGACTACAGTGTCCAGTTCGCTAATCTTAATATTTTTGCGTCAATCGCAACTTCTCGGCCCTCTTCGTCAAACTTCGAATTAGGATGATACCCAAGGTGATCCGAAAAGAAAGTTGCATGAGTTTTGCAATGTTGTGTAAATGACTAAATGTAAGCATTTTATGGAATGTACGACAATATTTATTTCAATCGATTTAAACGAATACCTACGTACAGTAAGTTTTTATTGTCGATATTTTATATGTGTTGTCCAAAATTTCAATCTGGGTTGTAAGAACGCAAACAGGACGTTTCGGCCCGAAACCAAATCGGCCCCTTTGCCAAATCGGCCCCTAGACGTTTCGGCCCATAACACCCCAGTTACACAGAGCCATCGGTGATTGATCGGTAGATTTTTTAGCCAAATTATGGAGTGAACCGATGACAACGTATTTAACACCGATATCACTTGGTCACCTGTTTCCCACCTATCAACTGCTATTGGGGAAAGATAAGTTTCATCCGTGAAAAATTACCCGCGATTATAATTACCGATTGCGATTTTTAAACATGTTTAAAAATCTGGATCGGTGAAAATATTTTACAAATAACCGACAGCAACCTATATCACAAGATATGCAAGCTCTTAATCACCGATATCGTCGATCGGACAAAAATAACCAAATATGAATCACCGGCCATATCTGACGGAAAGTGTTTAACCACTGATGAATAGCTATCAAACACTGATTAATCAGCGTCACGCCTGATTAAGCTCCGATTTACAGTATTTCAGCATTTTATCACCGATCCAACCCCGTTTGAGTTTGCTTTCTGTCACCAATGGCGGTTTACACAGAAAACCAGAAATAAAATCATGCATGACAACCGATCATAACAGCGAGTAAATTTAAAATTAAATGACTGATTGGGGACCGACCGTCTGTGAAACTGGCCCCTAACAACCTTATATAAACAGCAAGGAACTTACACAAACTATTAGAAAATTGTTTTTTTTTTTTTAGAAAAAAAAATCAAATGTCAACAAGATGAATATTATAAATATGTGCGCTTCTGATATATGCAAGGGAAGTAATTTGGCAGACTTTTAGACAGAATAAGTTGTAGTTCTGATGTCTTTCTTTATTTGCTAACTCAAATTTTGCAGTGCATGTTACCTATTCTGGCTTGAATAATTTGATAATTCTTATTAAGTGAAACAACATTGTACAATGCTCAGAGCTTAGATATTTGGCATGTAACATCAGTTTCACCTTATGAGGTCCAGATACAAAACTAATGTTAATCATGCCCCTTTTTGTCAATATTGGCCCCATTTGGGTCACTTGATTTATATAGACTTATATACAGCTTAGATACTTGGCATGTAGCATTTGCTTCGTAGCCTCTATCTATAAAAGCTATATTAATCGTGAACCGGCAGTAAAAATTGGCCTCACCTTGGGGGCCACTTAGTTATTGTCCGCATTTCTTCAAAATTGCTTTATTTAAATGTTTGTTTTATTAATTATAACAAATGTTCACAAGTAAATTCAAATCTTTACAGGTATGGCATAAATAGTATGAACCAGTTGGTAAAGGTTTTATTCAGAAGGTGTTTCAATCAATCTGGGCTGAATTCAACACAGCTGCTCTTATCCAGAACTACAATTAACATTGTGGTAAGAATTATTTGCTTTGGCATGTATATCGAGTGTCATGATACAAATGTAATAATACCTTTATATTGTTTCTGTACTTTCAACCGTGTTTTCCACAAGTATCATATGAGCGGATACCTTCTCATTGGACTGTTTGGGAAATAAGGTTTTCAGTGTAGTTAATTATGCCCCCGCCATATAATGGCAGGGGCATATAGTGTTACCCTGTTCCGTCATTCCGTCCTTCCGTCATCATCAGTTTCCGTTCATTATCTTAATAACCCTTGCACATATTGAACTCAAATTTGACATATGGATATGTCATGAGAAAATACAGGTCAAGTTCGAAATTGGTCATGGTTCGATGATTTTTGGCAGAGTTATGCCACCTTTTACTTTGAAAAATAATATGAAATTTTCAGTTTCCGTTCATTATCTCCCCAACGGTACAACACATTCAACTCAAATTTGACATATGGATATGTCATGAGAAAATACAGGTCAAGTTCGAAATTGGTCATGGTTTGATGATTTTTGGCAGAGTTATGCCCCTTTTACTTTGAAAATAATATGAAATTTTCAGTTTCATTCATTATCTCCCCTACGGTACAACACATTCAACTCAAACTTGACATATTGATATGTCATGAGAAAATACAGGCCAAGTTCAAATTTGGTCATGGTTCGATGATTTTTGGCAGAGTTATGCCCCTTTTACTTTGAAAATAATATGAAATTTTCAGTTTCCATTCATTAACTCCCCAATGGTACAACACATTCAACTCAAACTTGACATATGGATACGTCAAAGGAATGCGCAGGTCAAGTTCAAATTTGGTCATGGTTCAATGATTTTTGGCAGAGTTATGCCCCTTTCACTTTGAAAATAATATGAAATTTTCAGTTTCCGTTCATTATCTCCCCAATCGTACAATACATTTAGCTCAAACTTGACATATCGATACGTCAAAGGAATGCGCAGGCCAAGTTCAAATTTGGTCATGGTTCAATGATTTTTGGCAGAGTTATGCCCCTTTTACTTTGAAAATAATATGAAATTTTCAGTTTCTGTTTATTATCTCCCCAACAGTATTAAACATTCAACTCAAATTTGACATATTGATAAGTCAAAGGAATGGGCAGGTCAATTTCAAATTTGGTCATGGTTCGATGATTTTTAGCAGAGTTATGCCCCTTTCACTTTAAAAATAATATGAAATTTTCAGTTTCTGTTTATTATCTCCCCAACAATATTACACATTCAACTCAAATTTGACATATGGATATGTTTTTGGAATGCGCAGACCAAGTTCGAATCTGGTCATGGTTCAATGATTTTTGGCAGAGTAATGCCCCTTTCACTTTGAAAATGATATGAAATTTACAGTTTCTGTTCATTATCAACCCAACAGTGTTACATATTCAACTCAAAATTGACATATGGATATGTCAAAGGAATGCGCAGGTCAAGTTGGAATTTGGTCATGGTTCGATGATTTTTTGGCAGAGTTATGTCCCTTTCACTTTGAAAATAATATAGATACATCTTAGGAATAAGCAGTTTAAGTTTGAATTTGGTCGTGGTTCAATGATTTTAGACAAACTTATCTTTCCTGAATGTTGGAAAAATTTTGAACTTTCAGTTTCAGCACTCATACTTTTGTGGAAATGTATATAGCCATTATGTTGGCTACAAATATGCAATATGCTATTTTTAAAAGGTTAAGACTGAATAATTTCAGTGCCTTGAACATTGTATAAAAATGGTTAAGACTGAATAATTTCAGTGCCTTGAACATTGTATAAAAATGGTTTGTGTTAACATTAAAAAGTTTTAAGGGCTTTGAACTTAGAATGAAAAAAATAATTTGTGCAAACAAATTTGGAACTAAATATTATAACATTTGAAATTTTGGCTGCATGCGGGGGCATCCGTGGCATGATGACACATTTCTAGTTTTTTTATGCTCCCCGAAAAATTTCGGGGGAGCATATAGTCGTCGGGTTGTCCGTCCGTCCGTCCGTACGTCCCAACTCGTGTCCAGCCCATAACTTAGTTATTTGAAGTCGGATTTTAAAACTATTTAACAGAAATGATCACCATATTGAGACGACGTGTCGCGCGCAACATTTGGGTCACTACCTTGAAGGTCAAGGTCACAGCATGACCTTGCATCAAAATCGTGTCCGGTCCATAACTTAGTTATTTGAAGTCGGATTTTAAAACTATTTCACAGAAATGATCACCATATTGAGACGACGTGTCGCGAGCAACATTTGGGTCGCTACCTTGAAGGTCAAGGTCACAGCATGACCTTGCAGCAAAATCGTGTCCGGTCCATAACTTCATTATTTGAAGTCGGATTTTAAAACTATTTCACAGAAATGATCACCATATTGAGACGACGTGTCGCGCGCAACATTTGGGTCGCTACCTTGAAGGTCAAGGTCACAGCATGACCTTGCAGCAAAATCGTGTCCGGTCCATAACTTCATTATTTGAAGTCGGATTTTAAAACTATTTCACAGAAATGATCACCATATTGAGACGACGTGTCGTGCGCAACATTTGGGTCGCTACCTTGAAGGTCAAGGTCACAGCATGACCTTGCATCAAAATCGTGTCCGGTCCATAACTTCTTTATTTGAAGTCGGATTTTAAAACTATTTCACAGAAATAATCACCATATTGAGACGACGTGTTGCGCGCAACATTTGGGTCGCTACCTTGAAGGTCAAGGTCACAGCATGACCTTGCAGCAAAATCCTGTCCAGCCCATAACTTCGTTATTTGAAGTCAGATTTTAAAACTATTTCACAGAAATGATCACCATATTAAGACAACGTGTCGCGCCCAACATTTGGGTCGCTACTTTGAAGGTCAAGGTCACAGCATGACCTTGCATCAAAATCTTGTCCGGCCCATAACTTCGTTATTTGAATTTAGATTTTAAAAATATTTTACAGAAATGATCACAATATTGAGATGACGTGTAGCGCGCAACATTTGGGTCGCTATCTTGAAGGTCAAGGTCACAGCATGACCTTGCAGCAAAATCGCGTTCGGCCAGTTACTTCGTTCCTTGAAGTCGGATTTAACAACTATTTCACAGGGATGATCACCATATTGAATCGATGTGACACATGCAACATTTGGGTGGCTACCTTGAAGGTCAAGGTCACAGCATGACCTTGCAGCAAAATCATGTCTAGCCCATAACTTCCTTATTTGAAGTCTGATTTTACAACTATTTCACAGAAATGATCACCATATTGAGACAATGTGTCGTGCACAACATTTGGGTTGTTTTTACACTTTGAACTTGACCTGTGACATAACTCTGACACTACAAGAGGTATACCTTCCTGTGTCCAAAACCTATTCGGGGAGCATCACCCGGTTCAACCGGCTCTTGTTTTAAAAAGAGCAAAATTTGAATAATTGAGGCATAATTTTCGAAAGAATTGCCTTCAATTAAATTAATTCAACAATCCCAGAATCTGCTTGAGTCTACTTGACCCTCTCCGTGCTTGGAGAGTAAAATTATTGAATGTACTGAAACCACCCCTATTACGGATGCCATTTTTGTTAAAAATTCATCTCTTTTTACCAAGTTATATCGATCTATATTTATGAAATTATTAATATTAATCACTATCTGCTTCACTCGCAAAAATGTTCCTGTGTAAAGAAAAGTTACTCGCATTGGTCTGTTTCGACTTGCATTTTGCGAGTGTTAATTTCCAGTCTTGTTTTCTGTATTTTCATTGTTTATGATGTAATGATAAGTCAGCTAAATGAACAAATTATGAACACTTAACAGTTTAGAACAGTTTTTTTTCTACCTGAAAGTAAAATACTTCTGACATTTTCTGAATTATCTGTAAATTTGTAAAAAAACAACATTGTAGTGAAAAAATGCTACTGTAATTACTGCAATAATATAGAGAGATTACTTTTTATTGTTACAGAGGAAGTGTAGCACCATGGCAGATGAAGTATGGAAGGTAGATAATAATGAGAATGTAGATATTGAAATGGAAGGGTTATCTACAAAATTCAGCCTCGTTACAGAAGGCAAAGCTAAAGTTCTCCAGCCAGCATCAGTGTTCTATAACCCTGTACAAGAGTTCAACCGAGACCTTACCATAGCCATCCTGTCAGAGTTTGCTGAGGAACATGTTAAACAAGCAAGAGAAAAGAGGCATAAGATTTGGCAAAAAGAGAATCCTGGGAAGGAATTAATTGAAGGTAATAATGTTAAGCCCAAATTTATGAGAGTACTTCATTATTTGCAGAACTCCATTTACTTTCTGTGGTGTAAGGTAAGTTCATTATGCTTATGATACAATGTATGTGACCAGTAAATGCTTGATTGTTGAAGAAGAAATTTTTCAGGCTCATAAACAAAATGAGTTGTCAATGATTTAATATTTTGCCCCCCTCCTAGAAGAGTGTATTAATTAGATAAACTTGCAAATGAATTTTTTAGCAGTGTTGGACAAAATTCGATATACGTTTGTGAAATTAATGACTCAACTAAGCTTTCAGTAGTATTTCCCTGGTCACCAGCTCAAAGGTCAAGGTCAAAAATGTTTTGTATGTGTTATCCATTGAGATATGTTGTCTTCACTTGTAAGAATAAAATAGCCACTGTATATACATGTATTATTATTTTTATCAGTATATATCTTTGTTGAATAGATGCTGAAGAACCTCTTGTGGCCGGGCAACAGCACCCTGATGGCATGAAGATACTGGAGGGTCTGTCTGCATCTGGGCTCAGATCAATGAGATTCGGACTGGAGATTCCTGGTGTTAAGAAAATCATTGCCAATGATTTTGATAAACATGCTGTAGAGGTGATAGAGAAGAATATCAAGAGAAATAAACTAGAAAATCTTGTAGAGGCTAGTCACAATGATTGTGCTATGTTAATGTATCTGAATAAAAAAGTGGATGATAGATTTGATGTGATTGATCTAGATCCGTATGGTTCTGCAGGTCCTTTTTTGGATGCAGCTGTACAGTCAATCAGGGATGGGGGATTACTATGTATTACATGCACAGATGGTGGTACGCTTTGTGGAAATTTTGGTGAAAAATCGTTTTCAATGTATGGTGGTTTACCACTGAGAAGTAAATTTTGCCATGAAATGGCATTGAGAATAATTTTACACTCTATAGAATCACATGCTGCAACTTACTCTAGATATATAGTGCCTGTTTTATCACTTAGTGTGGATTTCTATTTCCGTTTGTTTGTCCGTGTGTACAGTGGGCAGTTGCAAACAAAATTTACAGCAGCACATACAGGCATGGTGTATCAGTGTGTTGGATGCAGCTCATATACCGTTCAGCCATTATGTGATACCCAGCCTGGGAAAAATGACACATATAAATTTATTCCATCGCGGGGACCACCTGTCGGTAAAAATTGTGAACATTGTGGGTTCCAACATCAGATGGGTGGACCGATTTATTTAGGACCCCTACATGATACAGACTTTGTTGACAAGATCATTAGAAGGGCAGCAGCTGAGTCAGAAAAGTTCAATACTGCAAATAGAATAGAAGGAATGCTGTCTGTTGTGTCAGAAGAGATTGAAGTACCTCTCTATTATGAAGTTGATGGACTCTACCAGGTCCTACATTGTTGCCCACCAAAAATGATGGATGTAAGGTGAGCAAATAGTATACTTGCCAGTTTAACTGTGATGTTGGTTTGCTTAAAAATATAAATTTTCTTAATTCTCCTATGTTTGCAGTGCCACACTCATGTTACCAATTTTTGTGTCGCCTCTACGGAGTAGTGGCGACATATAGGGGTCAATTCTCCGTCGTCTGTCTGTCCGTCTGTCTGTCCGTCCGTCCGTCCGTCCGTCACAAAACTTGTCCGGACTACTCCTCATAAACTACTGGTGCAATTTCATCCAAACTTTACAGGAATGATCAGTACCAAGTCTAGTTGTGCATATTGTCAGGATTTTCCGGTTCAATGATTTTTGTCAGAGTTATGGCCCTTTAATAATTTTTAATTTTAAAGTTTGTCCGGACTACTTCTCTTATACCACTAATGCAATTTCAATGAAACTTTACAGGATTGATCTGTAGCTCAAGTCCTTGCGCATATTGCACAGGTTTTCCGGTTGAATGATTTTTGGCCGAGTTATGGCCCTTTGATAAAAAGGTTTCTTTTTCTGTGTGTTGCCAGATACACAAAAGCTTGTCCGGACTACTCCTCATAAACTACTGGTGCAATTTCATCCAAACTTTACAGGAATGATCAGTACCAAGTCTAGTTGTGCATATTGTCAGCATTTTCCGGTTCAATGATTTTTGTTTGAGTTATGGCCCTTTAATAATTTTTATTTTTAAAGTTTGTCCAGACTACTTCTCTTATACCACTTATGCAATTTCAATGAAACTTTACAGGATTGATCTGTAGCTCAAGTCCTTGCGCATATTGCACGGGTTTTCCGATTGAATGATTTTTGGCTGAGTTATGGCCCTTTGATAAAAAGGTGTTTTTTTCTGTGTGTTGCCAGATACGCAAAAGCTTGTCCGGACTACTCCTCATAAACTACTGGAGCAATTTTATCCAAATTTTACAGGAATGATCAGTACAAAGTGGTTAGTCTAGTTGTGCACTGTCCGTCTGTCTGTCCGTCTGTCACAAAATTTGTCCCAACATGAAATTGGCCATCATGAGGCGACACATGTGATTACTGATCGCTCTTGTTAACAAAAAAGGCACAGGGTATTGCAAAATAAGAACAAAATTACTACCAGCTTGTACGCTGATATAAATAATAAGAGGATATTTTTTCGTTTGAGTGAAATATGGAATATATTTTTACGAAACATGATAAAATGCCACATATTTTCACGAGCCGGGATGGCAAGTGAAAATATGTGGCATTTTATCATGCTGAGTGAAAATATATACCATATTTCACGAAAACGAAAAAAATAACCTTTTTATTTAATTTCATTATCAAAGAAAACTGGTAACGAACCCCTTTGCTTGCTACGCAACTGCAATTTAAGCGCGCAGTGATATAATAATTGTCTTGATTTGCACGCGATATTTAGCGCTACATTGTGACGTCACATGAACAACTCTTTAAACGTCTGTACAGCGTTAATTACTGAATTAAAGATATTGGTGTTCGGATTAATTTTCTTAGTTAGACCATTTTCTATCATGCTAGATAGTTTTCAAAACAAAATTCAAGAAAAAGTTGTTTTGTATTTATCAGATTTTTCAAACAAAACGGCGAAAGAAGTCCCTTAAAATAAATATGAGTTTTGACTCCGCCCACTTTCATATTTATATTTCATATTTAATTTTAAAAAATATGAAATATATTTGACTGATATAGCACCATATTTCATGGGTAAAATTAAATAATTTGGTTATATTTCTTTAAATACACTATAAGAGTGATTGCAAAGTTATCCATATAATAGAAAGCCACATTGTGCTTCAGATAGGAAAAAAACATTTGTTCTTTAGAAAGAGCAAATATGAGTTATAATGTTTAAATAACAGTATTAGAGCATTTTAGATGCTTGTAGCCTGAAGAAAGTAGCTTTAAAAGTGAAATTATTTGTCATAATAATAGGAAATTCTTAGCAAAGTAGTATTTTGACATCCACATAAGTTGCACCAAATCACTTTAATTGTAGTAATTGCCAGAATTTATCAGAAGCAAAAAATTGACAATGATAAACTTTTTGAATACTACAAAAAGAACACAAAAAAATTCTTTTGAGAAATAATTAAATGAAAACAATAAAACCATTTCTGAGGAATAATGATGAATAATTCAACTAGAGCTGTCATTGATTCAGTGCAAAGCATATTGACGATACATCAATATCAGATGTTGAATATCGGCGATACACCAATATATCAATATCATCATAAATACTCCTAATTTTTGTATATTATTTGCTTTAAAATTCATACCTGTTTAAATGATTTTAGTAAAATGCATGTTCTGTTCATACAAATATATTGTGTCCTCAGTGTTTATAATTTATGTCCTTTGCATTATTTGTTTCTGATCACTGCTATGTCATATGTCCATTATGTAACAACGGCTCAGTTTTATACAAGTATATATTTTCAGATGAATTTTCATGATTTATAGACATTTAAATAATTAATCAAAGTTATCATTTCTTTAAAAGTTTTAAATGTGTATTGATTATTGATCAACAAAAAATATCAACAGTATGGTCTCTATCGATGACAGCTCTACAATCCACCTTTCAATATTTTACGAGTACATGTAGAAATTTATAGCTGCATTTTGAGAGGCTAATACTGAGTTGGTTCATGCTTCAGCAGAAAAGTCGCCGTATAAGTGTAATTGTCACATGAGATTCTATAAATGAAGTTTAAAAATTGTCTGGTATTTATAAAACATCTTTGTACTTGAAGGGAGACAACTGTTGAAAATATCATCAGTTAAAATAATGATTGTTATCTCCCTTATACAGCCAGGAAAAGAAAAAGACTACTGTACTAGGTTCCAAAAATGTTTGTCTTTTCTCTTGCTCTTTGTGTTCTTCCAGTTTACTACCCTGTGTGCGTTTGATGTCCGGTTTAGTGCTTTTCAGGTTGTTATTTGTCCTGGGCTGCTAGATGCTGATGAGTTAAACACTTATGTTTATCTATTTTTTTGTATATTTTTAAAATATTTTTTTGGATCATATGCAAATGTGGTAAACTATTCTGTTGTATTGTTTTCATAAATGTTTTTATAGATTATTTTTACTTGACACATTAATAAGGTGAAAATGCCTAAAAATAAAAACAATTGGGATCAGTTTCTATGCCAATTTTTACTATATAATATGAAGCCTCCATTTGTTCAATTTTTATGGACCTTTTCTAATATTTTAGCTTGTCTGAAAATGTTTTTTATTTTTTGTGGATAACAGGAGCCAAAGACCTGACAGTTTTTGTAGTTTAAAGATTTCTTACACCATAAAAAATCATAAAACTCAATTATGATCTTGAGGTTTGAAATAAGAAGTTTTCTGACTGAACTTTAGGCTTAATACTTCATCACTTGATTTATCAAAATGAAAATCAGTTTCCACATGCAGACTGTTTTTTATGTAACAAACAATAATTTGCTCTCTCACTTCAGATCAGCCATTTTGAATGCTGGTTACAAGGTATCATTTTCACATGCCTGCAAAAACTCACTGAAAACAGATGCTCCCAACTCTGTGATCTGGGTAAGCCTATAAACATTACTTATACAAGATTTAAAAAATATCTACAATATATATCCTGTCTACTGTCTACTATAAAGATATTAAGATAATATAGCACTATGTTTTTAGGGAAGTTGAAAATGAGCTTTGTTATCACTCAAAGTCTGTTGTCTGTTTACCTGTCCGTCCACATTTTCCTTTACATAACATCTCATATAGTGGGTTAATGTAAGAGATGTTAAATAAAATGATCTTTGGATGAAGCTCTATCTAGATTGTTTGAACTATAATAACTTGTTAAAATGAGGATAAAAAACTTATTTTTATGCCCCTACAAAGTGTGGAGCATATAGCGTTGCACTTGTCCGTCCGTACGTCCCGAAATCTTGTGAACGTAACTCCTCTTAAACCAAATGGCAGATTTTGCTTAAACTTCCAGGGATGAACAACTTTAATGTGTAGATGGTAGTAAAGGAAGGAATTTTTGCTGCGACCAAATTTAACAGCATTATGGCCCTTTGTTGATTTTTATGCTCCCCGAAAAATTTCGTGGGAGCATATAGTCGGCGCCTTGTCCGTCTATCCGAGCAAACATTTTAAGTTTAGGGGCTATATAACAGTAAAGAGAACAAAAGAGAACAATAGGTTCATTCCGTGATCAAAGGGTTTATGGGCTAGTAGCCCTTAAGAAAACAAAGAAAATAGCCCCTAAACCCAAAATGTTGGAACGTCCGTCCTTCCGTCCGTCTGTCCGTCCGTTGTCTTGTCCGGAGCATACATAACTTGAAAACCCTTGGAGATAATTTGTTTAAACTTCATACAGTGGTAGAGGACATTGAGGGGGAGTGCAGTGTCAAAGAACCATAACTCTATTTTGCCCGGTTTTTGAATTATCTCCCCTTATATAAAAATCTTGTCTGGGACATAACTCTAAAACTATAAGAGATATCAACATGAAACTTTGTAGGTGAATAGATCTCAATGGGTAGATGTGCAGTGCATAAAAAAAACTCTTTTTGTCCTAATTTTGGAGTTATTGCCCTTTGTTAATTTTAACACTTTGAACTTTGTCCGTAACATAACTCTAAAACTATAAGAGATATCAAGATGAAACATTGGAGATAGATAGATCTCATTGAGTAGAAGTGCAGTGCAAAAGAACCATAACTCTGTTAAGCCTCATTTTTGAATTATCTCCCCTTTTAGAAAAATCTTGTCCAGGACATAGCTGTAAAACTATAAGAGATATCAACATGAAACTTTGAAGGTAGATATTTCTCAATGGGTAGATGTGCAGTGCACAAGAATCATTACTCTATTCTGGAGTTATTGCCCTTTGTTTATTTTTACTTTTTAAAGTTGTCCGGGACATAACTCGGAAACAATAAGAGATATCAACAAGAATTTTTGTAGGTTGATAGATCACATTGATTAGAAGTGCAGTGCAAAGAACAGTAACTCTGCCTTGCCTAATTTTGGAATTATTGCACTTTGAACTTTTTCCAGGGACATAACTCTGAAACTACAAGAGGTGTACTTTCCTGTGTCCAAAACCTATTTGGGGAGCATTACCCGTCTCAAACCGGGCTCTTGTTTCACTATATACCATATAGAAATTTTGTGAACGCAACTCCTCTTAAACCGGATGGCAGATTTTGCTTAAACTTCCAGGGATGAACAACCTTAATGTGTAGATGGAAGTAAAGGAAAGAATATTTGCTGCGACCAAATTTAACAGAATTATGGCCCTTTGTTGATTTTTTCACTATATACCATAATAGAAATTTTATGAACGCAACTCCTCTTAAACCGGATGGCAGATTTTGCTTAAACTTCCATACAGATATGCATGCTCTTGTTTACGAGCACATCTGCACAGTGGGGGCATGTGTGTCCTTTAGACACAGTTCTAGTTGATTTAAAAAATCATCTCTTGATTTGTTAAAATGCAAAATTGCTAGTCTCAATGTGAATAAACAAAGTTTTTTATGTAATTTTCTTTAAAAAATGTTGAATTTGATTTAGATGGATACATTTTCTTTAAGTGTCAATCTACCAAGATTGTTGAAATAATCTTGATTCATTGAAAAAGAAAACAAGACATGTTCTTATTCCTATATGCTGAGAATGTATTGACTTTAACCCTGCACAATCTTGTAAATTATATTATAAAACACTGTTTTTGCAGGATATATTGAGGGCATGGATTGAAAAGAACCCAATTAAGAAAAATGAACCAGGATCACCATGTCATGCTATACTCAGTCAGAAACCATCTATTGAGGTGAACTTTGAAACTCATAATAAAGCTAATCCAAGATCAAGGTCACAGAATTTGACAAGATGGCAACCAAACCCAGAGAAAAACTGGGGACCAAAACCAAGAGCCAAAAAATCTAAAGATAGTGACACGTTAGAAAGTAGAAGAATAAAAAATCAAGGCAAACGCAAAAGAAAGGCAGTAAGTTTTACCAACCAATTATAGATGGCTATTATACTTACTATAATAGAGGTAGTACTGCATGCATATAAGTGATGTCAGGGACAAGCTGTTGTTTCCATGAGCAAGAAACTTTACACTCATTGCTTTGTACATGTACTTGCTGGTTCCAGGAATGGATATGAGAACGTTTCAATAAGCTTATTAATTTCTTCCACGGCAATCAAACTAAAATAAATTTGTATAAACTAAAAATAGTGAAAAAAAAAGATGAACACTTTTGTATTGCATGTGAATAACTTGCAAGCGACTTAGGACTTAAACTTTATGTATTTGTTTCGTAAGTTTGAAGATTAGTTTGTTCAACTGCAGGCATTAAGTTTTAAACTGATACAAAGAAAGCCTATTGTGTATACTACACAAATAAATTTAATGAAGTATCAATAACCTTATCTTAATTTGATTTGAAAACTTAAAAAGTATTTGAAAGTTGATATTGCTTTCCTTGTAAATTAAACTGCCAAATTTTAGAATTTTGATGTTGAAATCCTGCCAAATGACAATTTAATTTTTAAAAAATTAACAAGTTTATTTTTATCATAGGAAGAAGATATGGGGGATGAAAACACTGTGGAAGGCCAAGAGACAGACAAGCAGTCGAAGGCAGGTGGTGATCAGGCTCAAACATGAACTTAAGTTTATTTACATTGAACCAGTCTTGTACCAGTCTAAGTAACCAGTCTCCGAAGTTAAAATGAGATCCTGACTGGTCCAATAAAAACTCGGAATAAAAGGCTCTGAACCAGTCTGAGCAATTTAAGAACTGATAGTGGATATATTCATCTATAATATGTAGACAACTAGAAACATCTTACAGAATTTATGCATTTAAAGAGTACATAACATGTATTTAAAATATGTGTATTATTATAAAAGTATTTCACATTTTTATTAAGTTTATTGAGTCATCAAGATTAATTACTGCGTAAGGATTAATTTTTAAAAGATCTGTTTACTGTGGCAAATGACAAAAATAGCTGAATTAAACAATTTTAATATGATTATGTGAATGTTGTTTTACTTGCGTTTTTTTCTTTGAAGATCTATTGATAGCACATTGTAGATAAGATAAAGAAGATAATCATTGAAAAAAAAAGATACCAATAAGAAACTGTTACATATCAACTTAATGCCATATGTATAAAATGATATAATATATAACAATAAAACCTGTATTTGTGCATTATTTCCCTATGCATAAGCACAAGAGCTTATTATTCCCCTACGAAAGGCGGCAGGGGATATATAAATAGTCTTCGTCTGTCCGTCCTTCTGTCAATCCTTCCTTCCGTCCGACATTTTTGTCCAGAGCATATCTCAAAAAGTATTTAAGGTATCAACTTGAAACTTCATATGTAGATAGATCATATTGAGGGGGTTGCAGTGCACAAGATTGATCACTCTACCCTGCATAATTTTTCAGTTATCGACCTTTGTTATTTTTCAAACTTAATTTTTGTCCAGAGCATAACTCAAAAAGCCTTTGAGATATCAACATGAAACTTCATAGGTGGATTTATCTCACTCAGGAGGTGTGCAGTGCACAAGAATGATAACTCTACCCTTAAATTTTTTTGAGTTATTGCCCTATTTATTTTTTCATACTTAATTTTTTACGTGAGTGGAGCATAACTCAAAAAGTCTTTGAGATGTCAAAATGAAACTTCATAGGTGGATAGATCTCATTAAGGAGGAGTGCAGTACTCAAGAATGATAACCTACCCTGCATTATTTTTCAGTTATTGCCCTTTGTTATTTTCAGCCAGCAGTATTCACATAAGTTTCAAATCTGTAATCACTTCAGCTATCAGTTTTTATTACCAAAAGACCTCTTAAAATTAAATTATTCTGCTCTACTACTGCTCGTACATATACATTCTTCCAATGAGCAAACACATTCCGCGGGGGATGGCCATGTTAACAATTTTTTTTTAATAAAGTCGCAAGATTTATGCAGATACCGTAATGACGCACAAGAAAATTGCACAAGCGCTATTCCTTTATAAAAATATACATTTGGTTTGGTAATATGGTTTGGTAATATAATGCGTTTCGTTATTTGTGTTTAGGTTTAAGAAACTGGTTCGTCATTCTTAATGCCTTCCCCCCACCATCATTGCCCATGTTCAATAAAGCTGTTGAAAGAGATTGGACACGTCCATATTCGGTCATTTAATGAATTTTATAACTTAAGAATTTATATATTTTATAATAAAACAAAGTGCATTAACACCAAATCAAGGCGAACGAAGTCTGGTAAATATTTTTACAAAAATGACATTAAATCGTATGAACTTTATGTCTACCACCCCTCGCACGAACATACATCATTGAGTTTATTTTGGAAATACAGAGAGAGCTGGCTAATCCCCGTGTAAAATGTTAAGATTTTTCTAGGTTGATTATTGGAGGTCTTGGCACATAATTCAGGCGCCATGCGATGTACCTGACAACTTTTTGTATGCTTTCAGGCGCCATGCGATGTACCTGACAACTTTTTGTATGCTTCCGTCATTATTCCTTAAAAACATGACATTCGAAACATGAAAACATACGTTTTATCTCCCAATATAGCGCTGAATATAACAATTTTAGCATGTAGGAAACATGTTTTTTAAAGGCTGTCCTGTTCCATTACCCAAACCTTGACAATGCATGGTTTTCACGTTGTTTCTTTTGTTTGTGAGGATTAATGCAACTTTCTGGTAAAAATCGGGACACTGCGTGTCAAATCTCCCAGCTTTCTTGTCCCTCATGACAGATCTAGTAGCTCATAACCTATGATTATTTCTATAGCAGAAACCGGCTTCTTAGTGTATATAAATCGTATCAGTGACATTATACATTGTAGCGAAGTTCAAGGTTTTGCAATATTTGTTTCGTAGAAGGTGTAATGTTAGAATAAACTTCGTAACTTATAACAATGTATCGATACCACTTTAAAAATCTGATACCTTCTGGAAACAAACAAACAAGCTACTTAATTAGCAGCAACATTATATGATTAAGTAAAAAAACGATATAAGTTGACCACCACAACCATCAACACCATAACTAATAAAAAAGTAAAATAAAAACAGTATCAGCAGCAAAAATAAACAATATGATACTATGTCACAGAGACAAAATCAAAATAACAAGGATAAATAATTTAGATAAAGAAATTACACGCTAACCTTTACAAAACATGATTCGGCCTCTTGTACTCTCAAATCAAGCTTCTGCGTGGGCTAGGGAAACTCATTAGAATTGTCTTAAGGAAATGTCAATGTGCATTTATACGTTAACTATGTTCTTTGTCATGTTCATATTTTGTTTGTATGCCATTATTTAACTTCTTGGTGAATTTGTATTTCTACAAAATTATGTGCATGTGCAATATATCGTTCTAAACATACAACAGTATAAGAATGTTTGCAATCTTACAACAGCATCGCTTTAATGAAGTTGTGTAGTATGCATAGCAGTCTTGCAGCTAATGGTTCAATTCACACGATATTGATATGTGTTTACTGTGACTGTATCATATTCAAATGTTAAAATCATCAAAATACGACTGGTGCACAGAACCAGTATTTAAATTACAGACATTCATTTTGTAAAATGATTATAATTTTATCTCAATATGTGAGATACATTAGATATGCAGTCTTCGGAAGGTGTGCATGTTGCCAATACTTCCTGGCATTTGTTTTGACTATATTATTTCGCCAACTTGTTTTCCCTTTTTAAATGTTTTTTTAAACTTACTTGTTTTATCATACGGATATAAAACTTAAACAGAACATATTTGTTGAGACATTTTGCACTTATTCACAGTGCCATATTAGAATAATTGATTTGAAATAAAGATATGAACTTATAGCTGTAACAGTTTTAACAAGAAACGCAAGATGTACTGGTGTATATAAACATATTTCAAGACAAAATGTTGGCTCATACAGAAGGCGCCTTGCAATGTACCTGACTCCATTTGTACTTAAACCTCTTTTTATATACCACAGACGCCAAAAAGAACATAAGATAATACATTTTCTATTGAGAAATAGTGCCTGATATTACAAATTTATAGTCTAGGAAGTGTAATATTTAATAAGATTCAAAGACCTGACGGAATTCATTACCGTAAGTTAGACAGCGTGCTATTTTTAACAATATGAATGATGTTTGTGTCATTGGCCTCTTCTAACTTTATTGTGATACAGATTTGAAATGTAAATGTTATATTATCTGCAATTATCAAGGAGACATTAACCTACCGTTATTTATTTAATTGTAAAAGAAATCTTGAGAATGAACGGATTTCGCTGGGGCTATTTGTGATGACGAAAGTTGAAATAATTTGTCGAGAATTTTTTAAACAAATGCGACATAATGTCATACAATTTCTGCTGATCCTGTACTTCTCATTTATTTCAACGATTTTTTTTCACGTTTGTTGTTTCAACCTAATTTTCTTTTTACAATAGGCTAGCATTGCGTTTTGATATCATTCACCTGTCTTAATTATATTTTTATATATTAAAAGAAAGTTGTAGTTATATAACTCTGATAGATATGCTTATTTCACGCCTCTTATTATTATTTTTAAAGAGAGAGAGAGAGAGAGAGAGAGGGAGAAACTTTGTTTAAGAGCGTCATAGATAAATCCTGTTAGATAAAATTCTGATTTTGATTTTTTAAGAACACGTTATATAATTAATATATTAAATGTATTTTGGAAACTGCAAGGCTATAATAATGTTTTGTCCCCTTGTCAAGCTGTCAAGGATTCTTTATCTTTATCTTTTGTTTAGATAAAGAACAAAAAGGATTACTCGAAATTAAGTTTCTGCGTGGTTGTACATGTAACACTTTTGAGACATATGGGTTTTATTCTGGTTTATTGATAGTTAATTCCATTTCTCTAAATGATATAAGGTCTTATTCTATTAAGATGAAATGATACATGTAATGATACATAAATGAAAGGGATAAAGAAAAGTGATTAAAGTACGAGTAGAATGTGTTTAAACGGTTGTAAATCTTTATGCTTTATGCATGTAGCGCCGATATATGTCCAAACGTCGAAAAATGTCCAAACGACGATAAATGTCCAAAAATTGACGATAAATGTCTCAATCGCCGATAAATGTCCAAAACTCCTTTAACGATAAATGTCCAAAAATTAACGAAAAATGTCGCAACAAATTAGGTGCTCATAAATGTCCAAATTGACGGTAAATGTCTCAACTTTTCATATGTTAATTGCACTTATTTCTATGATCAACAGTTATGCATCAGCCAGTTATAAAAGGTTTCCATAGGGATTAAAAGTACCGATTTAAGTACACTGTAAATGAGAACACCTGACGCGTTCACACTTGTTCAATTTTGAAACATTGCGCGTTTATATTTTGAATGCCTGTGTTCAGAAAAGGAGTTCTATTTACGAGTTGAACACTTATCATTTGAACGTCAGTGTTCAATGGTAGTCCTTCTGACTAGACAACATGAAAGAATTTGAGTTTTTGACTACTTGGGTAAGGTTTTTGGTCAATATATTGTCAGTTGGGGTTACATTTACGCAATTTAACAAGTAATGGTGCTTTAATAATTAAAACATTTTTAAGTGGAACATGATGTGAACAGTAGCGTTCATCGAATGTTCTAATTGAGAACGTTTCTAAAAATAAATGTGTTACAATTTCTGACGTCATTCAAGTACCACAACAACAACAACAACCACAACAACAACAAGTAAGCGTTGGCGAAACGCAAGCTGAACACTTTACACTAACAATGACTAAAATTGAAGAAAAAAAAAACGGTATTAACTTTTACTTCTTTAGCATTCTTTTTTATCCATAATTATTTTATTTTTCTGAAAAGAACTTGGTCGTCATATTGTTGTAGTTATTAACGTTTCTCCTTTTATACAAGGAGAAGATCTAGATGTGATATTGTAGATTTTTCTGAGTAGGGGTTAGATCTATTTAAATGCAAAGATTAACGAATTATTTAG